GTAGTCCGGGAACTTTCCGGACAAACTGTGTATGCACTATATTAATATTATGTTTATGTAACTATAATTCAATAAAAAACATTTTTTAAGAAAAGTTATCTCAACATAATTATCAAAATGTCAAGTATATCGAAACAAGAACACTGTCATGTACGATGCGCCGTACCTAAGCGCGCGAAAAACAGACCACTAGATAGGTCACTTTTAAGAACTTATAATTCAAAAAGTATTGTAGCCTCGACAATATGGTATTAGAGGTTTCGTCTCAAAATGATCTCAGGAATACGTCATTTAATTTAAGGTCGTGAGTTGTGGAACACTCTGTATATATATATATGTATATGTGTGTGTGTGTGTGTGTGTATTTTGTGCTACTTATCTTTTAATATTTAAACTTGTGTTAAACTAGAAGTAATAAAACAAATTTAATTGCAATGCAGCGCAAGAAACTGCGGTGCTCTCTTTTTTGAAAACATTCAAAAAAGTTAAATGTGTTTTTATGAAATATAACTATTATATAGTCTGCAAGAAAGAAGCAAGATAATGAGAAAACAAAACAGAAATTCAAATCATACAAAGTGAGAAAAGCAAACAAATTGTGACATGACATCATGCTGCAAAATGCTTTTAAATGAGTCTTAGCACGCAATTAATGTCAGTTAATTCTCCGTGTGTTCCAGAATAAACCTGCATCCAAAGAAATCGACAGTGTTTCGATCCTGCGGGAGAACAGAAATGTAACTTTGGCCTCATGGCGCAAGGATAACACTGAAGTGATCAGTTCCGAAACAAATAATCACTCTTTAGACGTCAATCTCCAGAAAAACAAAAACGAAAAGAACGATGAAACGACGACGTGGAAGTACTATCATCAGCGGACGGACGACATCCTGGACAATCAAAGGAAGAACAGCAAGAATGAGATCAACGCTAAACTGAACAATCAAGAACACATCTCCGAGTGCAAAGATGACGAAGGACAGAGAATACGTAGGATCGATCTAAAAACATACGGTTTTGAAGAGGTCTCGGATCAAAGAAAGAAAACCGCTCAATACCAAAGAGTTGCAAACAAACTGGATCTAAGTTTCTACGGTTATGAAAACGGCGTCTTGCGTCGCTCTCATTCTAACATTCAGCTGCATCAACCATTGCAGAACGAAAAGTCGAACCTGACGAAGTGGACGATTAGGTGTCGCGCAGGATATAAAGAATATGCAAAGTCACTTGACTGCAAGAAATTCACAAATAGCAAGGACTTCACAAAGTTCAAGAATGGCCATATAGGCTTAAGACTTATATCGGCTAAATCAATGCCCAACGTCACTGACGATGTGTATTACAAGTCGAGTCTGATCTATGAGAATCGAGCCGCCAGAAATCTGATAAATCGCACAATCAATAGATCGGAAGATGAATTGATGGATGAATGCAGCATGACTGACGATAGTTCGTTGCTAAACACTTACGACGAGATCTCGTCCGACGTTAACAAATCTTTCGAAGATACATGTGTAAGAAGCAAGGACCACACACAGTTACGAAAGCAAGTGAGCGAAGTATTTCATATGTTGCCTTCGGTGAAAAGACTCGCGGAAGCATTCGGCCGGAAACAAACTTCCAAAGTAGAAACTACCATGCCCGCAAAAGTAAATAGAATTTTGATAATTAATTGATCTGTTTTTTCAATTAAATACTATAGCTTAGAATATTGGTTTGCAATATACTTAATTTTCATCTAACAATATTGCCATTTAATTCAATATGAAATACAAAATCTTTTGTTGGAAATGGTGATAGAATAATTTTACTACTTTGTACTTTTTTGTCTCATAGGTGATGAAAACAGATAACGTCAAGGAACGATTACCTATATCTGAGGTACAGGTAGTCGAAAAACCAAGACAAATGCACAGCTTAACAGCCAGGTCGTTCTCGAAAGAATTTCGAGAAGGACTGCGCCAAATGCCCAGTAAAGTGAACTCGCTACCGGTTAGTCGATTTATAACAGAGGAACAATCGGCAAATCAAGCGGAAGTTGTGCGATCGAAAGGGGAAGACAAAGATACGGACGTGATTTTGCCCGGCAAACTCAGATCAAACATCATATTTTGGGAACAATTGCAGAAGAAAATTTAAACGATATTCGGCAAATGTCTAACAATGTTGCAATTATTTTGTATATAGATAGTAGATAAGCAAAAAGTACGAAATTGGAGTTATGTCGTCAGAATAAAACATAATGTAATTGGGAAACATGAGTGTTACGTCCTGGCCTTTGGTAACGGTCGGGCCTCTGCGGATCGTACCTGACACACGATACTTCATGTGTTTACGCCCGGCACACTGACCTAGAGAAAGATAGGCGAAACAAGTGTGCGGGTCAAACGAGAATTTCAGACGCAAGCAAGCAATGAGGTTTCTCGCTATTGCTTGCTTGGCGTCTTCCCGCTCGTCAGTCTCTTTTTAGGACTTAGACAAAAATTTAAATTTCTTGGGACGAAACCTGGCGACCATTGAAAAGATAACAGGGATGAGATATAAAACGGAAGTCCAAAAAATAACTAAGTTCAGCTAATTTATTTTAAATGCCTCTTAACTAAAATTTTTATTTAATTTATCGTTTTGTGGTTTCCATCTGGTCAACATGTTATGATTTCTATGGTATCGAGTGTCTACGTGTATACATGGATGTGTATGTATGTATAAATGCGGTAGACTAATTGTAAGTCGTCTAAAGTGACTTCTATTATTTCTCTTATTGTGGAGGAGGGAGGGGGGTAAAATCGGTAGAAATAGATATATTTGACAGGAACTTTACGGACTTCGGGGAAACTAGAAAAGGACCTCGCAATTTTATATAAATTTGAGTTTTGGTTAAATCAGCAGATTTTCTTATATGTTGTAGATTATGATCTGTTAAATAAAACATGTAAGACATAGAGCAAAAAAATAAATAGGTTTTGTGTTTGAATGGTCTAAAATCATCGACATCTTACTATAAAATACTCGATAACTTAGAAACGGCTGACCCAAAGTGAATAAAGTTTTAACGGTTTTAAAATCTCAACAAAGACCATAGGAATACGTAATAAAAGATAGAGGGTTCCGCTTAAAACATTCCAGACGACCTTGTTCTGACCTCGGCGACATCATTTAAGGTCAAATTGATAAAGCCAATGAATAGATCTTTTTAAACCTCAAAACTTTTATTTCAAACATTTTTTTATAAAACTTTTAGCTTTCGAGATATGTTACCGTTTTGGAACTTTTTATATACTGTTGTTACGTCCTGAGCTTATGGTTACGGTCGGACATTAGTGGTAGTACGCAACAGACGCACTGACACATTCAAACGAACGTGAAGTCTATCCTGGCACACTGAGACAGATAAGGTAGTCAGGAATGCGCGGGTCGAGCGAGACAGTTCGGCAACGCAGATAGGCCAACGGAGTTACCCGATTTTTCTCTGTCTAACGTATTCTCACTCGTCGGTTCCCTTTTAGGTCTAAGACGCAAGTCTCAATTACACACTAATTATACACCCGTTCATTCCTCGTTAATTCGCGTGGTTCCGTCCTTGGTAATTGAGACTTGCGTCTTAGACCTAAAAGGGAACCGACGAGTGAGAATACGTTAGACAGAGAAAAATCGGGTAAGCTTCGTATAAACTTGCGTTAAATTGACACGTACAGACGGTTCGGATTCGATAATGTATCTTACTGATAGCATTTCTTTATAATCGTTACAATCGGCGGAATGTTTAACTGGAGTGATCAAGATTATTGAGCTGGATTAATAAAGAAGTCTGGAGCGTGTTTACAAGAAATCATTTCTTGTCAAAATACACTGACACTAGTTAGTTACAAGTCGTCAGTCGGATCCGTCTCCGCAAGAGATCGTAAAATGAGAGGGTCTATTGTTCGTACTTTAACATAGGCGCTGTTCATTTGACTATGAGTAGCAAATCGAAATAATCAATTAAGAGTAGATAACTATTATTGAATAATTGATTGGATAAATATTCACGATTATTATTACGATACTCGGAATCATTACATTACGTTGTGTATCGAGAATTAGAATTGGTTGTAAGAATTGATGATCCTGACTGCTGCTCAAGGCGAAATGGAAAATATGTGTCGGTATTAGTGAGACTTACAATGTATTCGGCGATATATTTTGAGTGATAGCGGTGCTGGTAACTGGCAACGTCGCTCAGTGTTTGGTCGTAGCTGTTTCGCTTGGATTCGCGCTGCTCGCGGATGATCGGAAGTAGAGTCGGCGGCGCCCTCAGGAGGTTTGACGACTGAGTAGGTGCGAAATTTCCTCGGGTTAACGGAGTGATCAATTGATAGTTAGTCACTGATTTTACCGCGCAAAGCTGTTCTTTGATAAATCTCAACTGTACTGAAGATCAAACTGTGGTGAAAACTGCGTAGCGATTAACGAGCGTGGATCGTGGATCCACGCTTTTATAGCTGCTGGTTGATTTCCCCTTCTCCATCGTTCTTTTTCGAAATTTTGACCTCTCGTTTGTTGACCTCCGGGGCGAAGACCTTTCCCCTTTCGTTCGATTCTCCGGATCGATAGGATTATCATTTGTTTATATCTCGCTTATCGGTATGTGCCCTATCTTGTTTATGTCTGCGAGTCGCAGCTCTAGCCTCTCGATTTACGACTTTCCTTCTAGAGTTACGAGAGCTGTGGCGGTTTGTCGGGAATCGCGAGTGTCTATGCTTATACAAAGGGCTATTGTCCGTTAAAAATTTCCTCTCAGGAGTCGATAAGATTTGTTTATTAATCTAGGTGCTCTAGGCTCGATTGTTTATAGTGCGTTGTCTGGCGCGAGTCTGTCTGTCTTATCTCGGCTGGCTCTCGTTTCTCTTTCCAGGAATTCGTTACGGAAATTATTCCTTAAGACTACTACTACTTAATAATTATTTTACATTGCAAAATGAAGGGGGCCGTGAAATCCAGGACGTAACACTGTGTATGATCGTATATAGTTCTATGTATAATAACATTTCACATATAATTACATGTAATCATTTAATGTTATCCAAGATATGAACTCATGTATAACATAAAAATTTTTTATAATATATCTAGTATAATATCTCTACTCTTAGCCTAACTCATGCATGTGCGTGTGCGTGTGTGTGTGCGCTTGCGTGTCGCGTGCCTGTGTGTGTGGGTTTGAAGACGGAAAATACTACGGAAGTGACGAACCGTGGGGTTCTTATTTCTGTTGTAATACACGCACGCGCGCGCGCGCACGCACGAGACCAGTCTCTTACCACGTCCGTGTCGTTGATCCTGGGTTAGGCTAAGAGTAGGGATATTACACTAGATATATTATAAAAAATTATTATGTTATACATAAGTTTATATCTTAGATAACATTAAATAATCACATGTAATTATACGTGAAATGTTATATTATACATAGAACTATATACAATCATACACAGTATATAAAAAGTTTCAAAACGGTAACATATCTCGAAAACTATAAGTTTTATAAAAAAATGTTTGAAATAAAAGTTTTGAGGTTTAAAAAGATCTATTCATTGGCTTTATCAATTTGACCTTAAATGATGTCGCCGAGGTCAGAACAAGGTCGTCTGGAATGTTTTAAGCAGAACCCTCTATCTTTTATTACGTATTCCTATGGTCCTTGTTGAGATTTTAAAACCGTTAAAACTTTATTCACTTTGGGTCAGCCATTTCTAAGTTATCGAGTATTTTATAGTAAGATGTCGATGATTTTAGACCATTCAAACACAAAACCTATTTATTTTTTTGCTCTATGTCTTACATGTTTTATTTAACAGATCATAATCTACAACATATAAGAAAATCTGCTGATTTAACCAAAACTCAAATTTACATAAAATTAGTGCGGAGTCCTTTGACTAGGATATTATGATCAGAGGGAAGGCATGACGAAGGGAATTTTTTTCTGAAGTCAAGGACTAAATCATTTTCTGAAGGAGAGAGGTCGGCGATAAAGAAAGAATCTACTAATAAACTGAAATGTGACAGGTGATGAAACAGAGATTCTTCGTCGTCTTCTGACAAAATCTCGGATTCGGATGATTTGAAGGAAAGTGGAGGAAAATGGTGACAAGGAGGAGTAGAAGGATCATCAAGGTCAGGAATTTCTTCAGAAGTTACGGAGAAATATGGCAGGAATTCTAAATACTGGGGAGAAGGAGACGGAGGACAAGTAGAGGGCGACTAAGCCCGATGAATGGATGCGTGTGCCTGTGTGTTTTGTGTATGCGCGTGGTAGCTATTTTTAGTGTAAGTGTCTGTATTGTCTGTTCTAGGAATAGTTATATTATCGTTAATCCTAATTGCTGCTTTTATGAACGCTATCATTATTTTTGAAATTATTTAAATCCTCAGAAGGGACGAGGGTGTCGGCTCCGGTTGTCCGCAGCAGCCGTTCCAACGACCAACAATTGTGGAAGGCTTGCTAGATTCAAATCAGCCAGCAGTCATTTTAAACAATTTCAAGTCGCGAAGGGCTTACTAATTACGAGAGAAATTGAGAAGTTTACTTGCATTCAAATTTTCTATTATGTCTTTGAATATTATTTGCTTATAAATGCGCTTATCGATTATTAAATGTTGGAACCTCCGGATTTTTGAAGTGAATATTTTATTGTTTCACTTACTACTTGTCTTTCGTCCGCTTTAAGGGCGTTCTCCGAATTATTGATTTTCCTAGGATTTTCTTTAAATTTGCGATATACATAGTTTATGATCTTATTTCTACGTAGCCTTTTTGGATAATAAAGGTAGCAATGTTAAATTCAAAAATATGGAAGATTTAAGTTTCAATTTTTAACATGGATTTCCTATGCTGAGCCTTTGTGAAATGGGGTTTTTTAAAGTTACTGACGACAATTTTTGTAGGATTTTTTTAAAAAACAAGTATGTGGTAGCGGAGAGTGTCTTAATTAAAATACAATTTTGAATAATATGGGAAGCAACCCTTGTTTTCGAACTGTAGCTTTTTTTTTGTTTTTTTTTAGGAGTTTTTTTTGTTTTGCTGGATTTATGTGCGCTGTGTACTGCAGCTATTTTTGAACTTTTGCGCAGAGTAAGCGGGTCTTAGCACTGAATAGCTCAACTTAATTTTGTTACAGCAGTACAAACTTATTCATGAGAAGAGATATTTTAGGTTGCTAACCACTGTATTTAGGTTGCTAACCACTGTAGTCGGAGAACGTCCTTAAGGCCTGTTGTTCTCGCAGGGTAGGGCAAGTTTCGCCTTTTGCTCTTGAAATCAGTTTTATGATTCGGATTGTGTCCTCGCAGAGGTGGTTCGCTGTTTGGTCTGAATTGTCTGGCACTTAGAAGTGGCACTTTCCACTATAACACTTTACTTTTCAACAGACTATGTGACACAATTAACTAGCAGGTTCTGACAACTCGGATCTAACAAGGGGAGGTCGCGACGTTGTACCAATCGATTTGGACGAAATTTATAGGATCAATAGATGACTATGTGGAGTATTGCAGGGTAAAGTAATAAGACGCACTATTCAAGCATTCGCGAGAAAATCAAATTTGAAAATTTCGAGTTACTTTATAAGGATATTAAATAGATCGTTAAATCGAAGAACGCGTAGCGTAGCGGTAGCGTACTAGGTTAGTAGTGTCGACGCTGCTGGTTCGAGTCTCGATATACTTCTTTTTTTCTTCAAAATTCTACAATATAATCTAAATGTAAGCAATTTGTTTATTCTAAATGTAAGTAACGTTTTTTTTTATTTATTGCATTGTTTTGCATAAAAACTCTATGATTCAATAAATATGGTTTTAAAAATAAATAGATTAATACTAATTACTAATTGTGTTCATAAAAAGCGGATAAATAATTATACGCAACATGGTTTAAAGCACACACATTTCTTTGTGATGTTTATTGAACGTTATATCTTTGAAAGATAGAAAACATTATACTTTTGAAAAATAGAAAACAGAGAATGTAAATAAGATAACAGAGATAATAAATAAGAGGACATTTCTGTTACATTGTGAAAAACAAGATTTCATCGATTTGGCTGCTAACAGCGAGAGTAGATAGAAAAGAAAAAAAGTGTGCAGTGCTAATTAAATTGGAAGATATCACTATAAATAAAAATGAAAAGTGTATCTAGTTCGTCATCGAATGAATGTGATAGTACATCAGTTCACGGTGACGAGTCGAAATTACTGCTAAACGATGGCGTTGTTTATATGGAACAATTACTTTTGGAAAATGATCTCGTGACCCAAGAATCATCTGGGACAATTTCTCAGAAGGCAATGCAAAGTGGCGAAGAAATGTATGCATCTATTGTTGAAATGTTACAGTAAATTTTTTGTGGATACAAAAGAATTAATTATGGCAGAATTTGATAACAAAGGTCAATTTGACGAAATACAAGAAGATGATTATTTCGATGAATATATGTTAGAAAAAGAAACAAAAGTAACAGACTAGATTCCTTTAGAATATAAAATCAGGGTTGTTAATATGGCAAAAGAGCATCCACATTGGAATCTCGAAACTTTACAGAAAAAAGGAGGCTCACATTTAAAAAACATAAAATATTTATCCCAATGGAAAAAAGATATTAAACATGGGAGAACAAATATTGACAAATATGCAATTATTAACTCATGGACATATGATCGTTTTGTAGAAGCTAGAAATAATTACCAACACATAACAACAAGAAATTTGCAACAATGGGCGCTGGGCGCTGCAAATCAGTTTGAAAACTTTCCTTTTAAGGCATCAAGAACGTCATAAAATTTAAAAAACAACACAGAATCAAACAACAAAAAATTACAAAATATGTATTCGCAAAAGAAGCTGCCACAATAGACGAGATATTACATTTTGCAATTATTTATCCGGTTTTTATGAACACAATTAGTAATTAGTATTAATCTATTTATTTTTAAAACCATATTTATTGAATCACAGAGTTGTTATGCAAAACAATGCAATAAATAAAAAAAAACGTTACTTACATTTAGAATAAACAAATTGCTTACATTTAGATTATATTGTAGAATTTTGAAGAAAAAAAGAAGTATATCGAGACTCGAACCAGCAGCGTCGACACTATTAACCTAGTACGCTACCGCTACGCTACGCGATCTTCGATTTAACGATCTATTTAATATCCTTATAAAGTAACTCGAAATTTTCAAATTCGACTTTCTCGCGAATGCTTGAGTAGTGCGTCTTATTACTTTACCCTGCAATACTCCACATAGTCATCTATTGATCCTATAAATTTCGTCCAAATCGATTGGTACAACGTCGCGACCTCCTCTTGTAAGATCTATCGCTTATATATGATTCTCGAGAGACGTTGAACCTTTTGAGCTCTCCAATCAATTCCGGATATTCTCTTTTTTGTTTTGACAAAAGTGCAAACCTTGATTCGCAAATCCGCATTAGCGAGAGCGCCAATCATCGGCCTGACTATCATTTGTTTAAAACTCGCTATCGGTTTTGCGTTATCGTGTTTAAATTCATCGACTGACCGCTGATTTTTAGTTTTGACTGCAACTTCCTTTTTGGAGATAGAAGGATTTTGGTTGCTTTGATTTTCCGATTGGAGTTACTCGTTTCGCGCAAGTGTTTTTTATCACTTTACGTCTTATTGCGAACTGAGAATTTAATCTGCTTACTGCGTGGTAGCTATGACATCATTTCATAAGTATTATTTTTGCGAACTGATTAAAGATTATTGTAACCGGAAGGTTTTCTGTTTTCCATCCAGGAGATTTTTGGAATCTCGCATTTTCAGAACGCAGATCGATTACTCACGTTCCCCGATTGCGAGATAAGATTTTTTTTTTTTTTTTTTTTTGCGTTGCAAAGAAAGAGGACCGTGAAGTCTAGAAGGTAACATGAGTAAACGATAAAATCAAGTATTTGTTAAAACGAGTATTCTAAAACAAAAAAAATATAAAAGTAAAAACTTTATCTCGTAAGTTGCGAAATATAAGCACGTGAACGATACAAGATTAATTACACATATCAATGTTAAAATATCAAAAATAGTATTATACTTCAAATAAACATTGGAAGTGTATATTTACAAACTGTATTATGTTGGTCCATAAGTATAAAAACAGTTCTAACAATAGAGTTTAAGATATATAAAAGTTTATTTGTATTGTAAACACACGATGCTCCTTTAAATACAATAAATGATAATGAAACAACTACATTTAATAAGTAATATAAAATAATGTTTTTATCCAATATTTTAATGTTGTGAATTTTTTATTCTGTTATTTTATTGTTTTTCTGCGTTATTTTTCTTTATTAGTTTGTTATTATATATTATATACTCTCTCACACACTCATTATATATTTATATAATAAAAAATTAATACATGCATTTTATTTCAGTTTATCTTATTTTTTCAATTTGTAACTGTCCAAGACTGTATCTTGATAAAGCATTTCATGTTGTTATCATATCATCATACGCAACGTGAATGTGCCTCCGTGTCTCTGTTATATATTATTATAGCCGGCTTGGTGGAACAGAGACGGAACATAGTATGTCTGCACTCTTCCGTAGCCGAACGCACACGGACAGTTTCTCGCTTGTGTGTGTACACAGTGCGTCGCTTGCCCTCCGATCCCGCGCCTATTCCGCGATTCAATGACGCGCTGTGTACATTCGGTGCTCTTGATGTTAATCGGCTTGATTTTTGGCTGCGTTTCAGATATTCACTGCCAACACTAACAATACTTTTAAAAATCTATATTTTACACGTCACACGTACTATATTTCAATTCCAGTATTGACTGTGAATATCATATGCAATGCAGCCTTTCAATCAATCAATTGGTCCTACTTGCGTAATAATGAGGTACAAAGTACCTCGCGCAGCGCACACACACGTTGTTTTTGCGCATATACTTGGCGCGAAGTATACTACACGAAAGTGCTGTCACCAGGCGGCGACAAGAGGAAGAGCACGTTCTACACGTACGCACTCTGGTGGCTGACAATCGTCCGACGACGACGTGGATAAAAATCTTAGAACCTAGTTTTTCGAGATTTCGGATTTTGTACCGAGATATCTCCGTTGGGAAGGCACAGAGGAAAAAATACTTTTTTTCGTGCCTTGATCTCAACTTTTGATTGAGTCTAGGTCAAACTCGATTGGTTTGGCCGTTGTTGAGATCTGAAAATCTCGAAATTCTCAATCGGCCATACTCGCGTAAAAGAGACACAGGATATCTAGCTTGCGTGTATACTGGCGCAAGGCATTAACGTGCCTCTTGATTAATTAATAAGTGTGACCCAATAAGCGCATGAAAAGCAAGGATTCTATAAGCGTATGATTTTCAGTAGAAAAGAAAAATGATTTACTTCATGCAATCTTCTAACAGGAAGAAGCGTGGCAAACAAGCAAGCGGCGTGTGAAACAAGAATACAGGTTAACATTTAAAGATGTTTTTCGAGTTTGAACCGCGTTAGTGTCATTTTTATACCGATGTTTTTTGGACATTTCAGCTCACTTCATCAGGGTTTCAAGAGCAGCCTGATACAAGCGCAGCAATATTGTTACGTCCTGGCCCATGGATACGGTCGGGCTGTGGTGGTACGCAACAGCTGAACGTATTATCTTTATAGCTCGACACAGAAGATGCATAAATTTAACTGTGTGCGAGTCGAGCGAGTTGTTTATACTCACGGACGGGTCAACGGCACGTGCCGATATTACTCCGTCCTGTGAATTCTCATTCAGTGGTCTCTTTTTTAAAGTCTAGAGCGTTCGCTCCAAGGACTATGGACGAGACCGTACGATTGTTTAAGATAGACAAGGTTGGGTAGTGTCTAGTTAAAAAGATAAAAGTTAAGTTAAAAAGTTAAAAAGTTAAATAATTTTAACTTTAT